TCCTTGTTCTGAAATTCCCTAGTTTCTTTCGAGCGGTTTGCTCCTTGTTCTGAAAGTCTCTAGTCTCTTTCGAGCGGTTTGCTCTTTCTGCTGAAATTCTCTAGTCCCTTTCGAGCGGTTGGCTCCTTGTTCTGAAATTCTCTAGTCTCTTTCGAGCGGTTTGCTCCTTCTGCTGAAATTCTCTAGTTTTTTTCGAGCGGTTTGAGTACTCGTATGCTGGGAGTATTGAGCACATTGCAAATGCTTTCAGAGCTCAGGCAACCTCGGTCGGTGTGCCTTCGGATGCAGAAGATATGCTCTGATTCGGACGGTTTTCCATTGCGGGTGATCGGCTACAACACATCATTGGATTTCTCAGCATACAAAGATTGCCAGGTAAGCCGTGTAGACGGAAAGCAGCAGACCAAACGGTACAAAGCAGACAGCTGAACGTCTTGCAGGTTTGTAGTGCTCAAGTGGATTCTCACCCCTGCCAAGGAGGTACCAGAGCAAGCGGACGAGATGATTAACACAAATCTCTAAACTCTAAACCCCAAACCCCAAACCCAAAACTAAACCTTAATCCCCAAACCCTATCCCCTAAACCCTAAACCAAGGTGCCGTCCATCATCTACGACACCATCCGCGACCTACGGCAGGTCTCTGGGCCTGTTGCGGTGGGTTCTTGGAGTGCTGGGCCATCGGGGGGAGTTTAGTTCTGCTTATTTCGCAGAGGTTTGCGTGAAGGCTTTCGGGCTTCGGATTAGAGAAGATTCTGGTGGGTGCACGGACAGGTTGTGGGCTTCATGTCAGATCTGCCTTCAAACATCTTTTGGGGGGAGCAAAGGTTTGGAGCATACCTGACCTGCGGATCAAAGAACGGAGCTCGGTTTTTCCAAACGACCGGTGCGGTGCTTGAAAGTAGACTGATGGGGTGGTGCAGATAGCTCGGAGCCTTGATCGTCGATTGATCGTTTACAGAGTTACAGAGATTGATTGTGTATGCCCATGTGCATCCGCGCAGCCCATGTATGTACATACAGGTGTGTGTGTGTGTGCATGTATGTAGGTGTATATGTGTATATATATATACAATACACACACACACATCCACACACGAATCTATACACATGTAGGAGTAGTTCTGAACCCCGGCTTTTTTACCGCGGACCAACAGTTCTCGGGTTTAGGACCTTCTTCAGAACAGGCACCTCGCAGCATGCGCAAGAGCGAGCGCAAGGGCGATCAGCAGTGTGACTGATGCTTATGATGCTGGCCCACTGTGTCCTGATAAGTACTTGCCAAGAACTGCGGGGGAACCAAAATGTTGGGGATGGGGGATTGGGGTGGGGGGCCATCCATCCATCCATCCCGCCAGCCACCAGCCAGCCATCCATCCATCCATCGCATTCATCTGCAGACGCCTGTATACATACACATAGGTACGTTCGCTCATACAAACACGCACATAGTGGCAGCGTCTAAAGGGCGAAAGTGGAGCATGATCAAGAAACGTCCAAGAGAATCTGTAAAGGGCGAAAGTGGAGCATGATCAAGAAACGTCCAAGAGAATCCGTCTTTCAAACGCGGACGCTTACTCAGAGCTCCATAGTTCTGCTGTCGGAGCAAGGTGCAAGACGCGTGATAAAGTTGCCCAGACCTTCAATATCCCTTAATAAAAGAATATACTTTAGATCATAGTAGGGACCCAATTACAATTTTAGGGTAGGTTCCTTACTCAAGGTCTAAAGCCCCCTTTCCAGACCCCCAGGCGAGAGGCCAGCGCTTGGGAGCGATGCAGAGGCCCCGAGGGATTCAGCCGGTTCAGCCGGTACCACCCTACGACCATCGCGGTAGGGTTTGCCACCATACGACCATACCGTCGTCTCTTGGCAAGAGAGGAAAGCAGGGATTGACACCAGAATCTATGGGGGGGATGATAGGCCGCTTTGCTGCAAGTTTAGGAGTGTAGGGGACGAGGAGTCCTGGAAGCCACTTAACAGCCAGTTCAGTACTGGGGGTGTTAGTGAGGATTGGGCGTCGTCAGCTTGCACGGAACCTATGCCCAGCGTCCCAGACAAATCCTGCGAAATTGTTCCTCCCATACTCCGAGTTCGCAGGAAGCTGCCTGCCATCCATTTCGTGCGACTCTGCCGCAGATCTTGAACAAGTTCTGCTCGAAGCAGATCCAAACCCGGAGCGCTCCCCGGACATCTCAAGACAGCCCTCCGGCTCCTGAAGCAAATCAGGCTCCTGTACGTCTTGGGCATCCTTGAGCTGATGGCCTTCCCTCTCTTGGGGGCAGGGACCTACTCGATGTCCCCGGATGAGAAGTGCCCTGGCACGAGAGGATGGAAAGGATCAGCGCGCTTCACGAACGTAATGCTCTCGGCATGACCGAGAGGTTGCAGCATCCTTGGGTTGATGCCAGCCAGGGCCAGAGGGCTCTCTCTACGTCCTTTGGTGCGGCCACTCTGTTTCCCAGGATCTTGACCATCCAGGCCTTGTTCTTTGGCGCCATGTCGGGTGCCATTGCCCCCTGTTCTGCAATAAGGCACCCTTGTAAACGGATTCCGAAGCTTGGAGTAGATCAGATCCCCTCCCCAACCCTCTGATGACATGCTTTTTTCTTCAAGTTCCTAATAAGGCCTCAATCCAGAAAATCCGAGGTAATGACACTCCAGGTCATCTACGAGCTCTGGAAGCCTTTCGGTGGTGCCTACACCGTCGACACGGCATGCTGCCTGAAGACGGATTTACAGGGGGGGGGGGGGCGTTCTCTCCTTTTGGGGCCTCTTCCCAGCTCCAAGAGACCGCTCCAGGCCCTGGAGAAGATGGTGCAGGGGCTCGAGGAGGCGCGTTTCTGTCGTAGTCCGGGGGTTGGAGTCCGAGGCTTTTTGCAAGCAAGCCGTCGGCTGTATCATGGGCTTTCCCAGGCACTTCTTCCTCTCTCTAGTCACTCTAGTCCGTTCGCACGGGTTCTGGCTTTTGGTCTCTCTATTTCCTTCTTCCTGGTGCCTTTCACACGGGTTGTCCCGATCTTGCCGCTTCTCGAGTCGTTCGCTTGTTTTCTTGTTGATTTTTAGTTTCCTATTTATATTTGTTTCTCTCTCTCTCTCTCTGCATAGTTCGTCACTCTGCCTACTGTTTCGTGCACGTTCTGCCAGACTTTCTAGTCTCCCAAACATGCATGAGCCCCAAAGCTGAACAGTGAAACGGCACCTCAAGCCCTGCATGTACAAGAGCCGAAGAGCGATAGACTCGTGATCTAGTCCCTCTACTCTACTGTCGAGGCCCGTGCTTCTCTTTGTCAAAGCCTTCAATGAATCCTCTGTTTCTCCAGTTCTGTGTACGGCTTGGCTCCTCTCTGTCAAGCTTGGCTTGTGCAGTCCCTCACCCAGTACTTGGTACTCATAGATGCCGGTGACAAGGCACGCATCTCGTGGGAGCTAACGAGCAGTTGTGCTGCCGACGCAAGGAGCTTCGCGTGCGGAAGCGCCTCTGGAAGCCAATGAATGGCGAGGCTGCAAAACCCGGGGTGTTAAGGCAGTGAAGCGCTCAGAATCCGTGCAGGGCAACGGTAGGGAGGGCAGTTTCGGAAGTGTGGGGCCGCTTCTTGTAGTCTGCAGCTTTGATGCTGCGGGAAGTGGCTTGCTCGCCAGATGTGGCCGCCCGGCGAACCTGAGCGAGCTCCGACTCAGGGCTGGCAGTCGTCTTCTCGGTGATGTATGATTCGACAACTCTTTCGCAAGCAGCTGAGACACCTTAGCTGCCTTAGCCTTAGATGGCTTAGACGACAGAAAGCGAGAAAAGGTATCTTTTTTCTATCGTTCCTCAACAGTTAAAGTGAAAGCAGTAGTCCGTCAGCCAGAGAATCGTTTCACCGTGGCGGCTTCTGAAACTCGCATCGCATTCCCGCAAGAGCTTGAGCTAGAACTTCGGTCCCCAGCCGCAGGGCAACACGAGGTCTTCGAGAGTGAACTATGAAGTCGAGAAGTGGGGGTCAGATGCAGGACAATTTTAAACATCGAATTCCAACTCCAATCCCGGAGCTTGTTAGTGTCGTTTCAGGTCTTTGTGGTTTCTGCAATGCCCCTCCTGACCTCGTAATGTTCCAGTTCTGGGCCATAGACCACACCGTCAAGCTTACACCCTAACTGTAGATACAGGTTCTAGACAGCCGCACATGCCATCCCCTTGAATTGCCAGAGTAGCCGAAGTCCGGCCAAAACCTCAGAAGCCGCCAGGTAGAGGATTGCGCCCTGATTCAATGGGTGTCAAAAACTGGGCGCAATCGGGTTTGAGAAGTTGATGATTTTGGAGTTAATGATGTCGGTTTCAGTCTCTGGTGGCACGTGGAGGCTGAGATGGATACTGGATTTTGGTTTCACGTTTCAGCACGGACGGCCAGCATGAAGAGCCTGGAACCTCCTCCTACTTCTCCTCCTTCTTCCTAACCCTCTTGTTTTTTGAGCATACGTACTGTACCCTAAACCCCAAACCCCTGTTACCCAAACATGCCTACGAGTTGACAAAGCTGTAAGTATCAAGGCCTGCCCAGACCCGAAGCTTCGGCCCAGTTTTCCTAAAACCGTGCACATTCTATACTATATACTACAGTTTATGTACTAGACATGTATATTTAATAGCTCACGCCCCCCCCCCCCATGA